GGAGGTGTAGGCACCTCGGAATGATTGTATTAAGCTAGCACTAAGTCCTTTCCCCGTCCACCTTTACTCTTCTTTACAATAAGGCTTTCAAATAAATCATGGTTGTACGGCAGTGAAGCATCAGTGTTGAATGCTGATGTCATGCTGCCGATGATGATGATGATGATGATTTATTTCGCCTTGAACTTTTCTAATCGATAGGTTGCGCGTTCTGAATGTGGCACACAATCTCTTCCAAGGAATACCTCTCCTAAGGTCTGCACATCCATACTGATGATGATGATGATGATTTATTTCGCTCTGAACTTTTCTAATCGATAGGTTGCGCGTTCTGAATGTGGCACACAATCTCTTCCAAGGAATACCTCTCCTAAGGTCTGCAACATCCATACGAGTGAGAAAACAAAGTTCACCGGAACGATCGATAGCTGTAGACAAAAAGGATGCAGTGTTGATGAGTGGCGCGCAAAGAAAACACATCGAGCAAAACTCGGACTATTCATCAGCTGACCAATCGGTTATTGACTTACGCGGACCGACACGTCCACCAATCAGGTGAGAGGATCGATCCACTCATTGGCTTTTGGTCAGATAAACTCAAGTTTCAGATATGGTTGCTGTTATTCAAGCATATTTTTCAAACCAGCTAAGTTTCAGATCATGCATAAATATGTTCAACATTATTGTAAACGTCTACTGAGAATTTTGAGAAATAAAAGGCAGTGGAAATCGATTTCCACGAGTAGCCGATAGTGAAAGTCAGTTTGCATTAGAGCAATATTTCGGGAAAAAAATTGATACTAGGCATATAATAGAAACAGACAACCCCTAGGTTTCACTGCAACGGAAATTTGCATCCGCTCCAAGCCCTTCATCATCAACTTACTGATTTATTAACGCCATTTGCAGTCTGTTTGCCTTACAGCCTTCGATGCGGAAGCCTATGGATCAAATACTCTTTAATGCCGCTTCAGAACCCGTTGAAAATCCAAAAGACCGTCTAGTGATGGTGGCTGTAGGTGAGTGATTCCAGTGCCTGCCCACAAGGATTAATTTTTGGGGATGTGTCAATAGTTACTCAAGACTGTTTGTATAGGTTAATGATTCATTCTACCTTAATTGCATTGCCCGAATCTGGTGGGAACATCGGATCAGCAATGCTCAAGTTCGTCTAATGGTATTCGGAAAAAATAACTCACCTTCGATAGATGGACTGATCACACTGCATAGGTTGCGCTGGCTTGGTCACGTGCTGCATATGCCAGTCGGCCTCGAAGGGCTCTTTTCGCACATCCACGTGAAGGGTGGTAGAGAGCCAGAGGCGGCCAAACAATGACTTGGCAGCGAAGTATAAAAGCTATTACCAGCAAACTCAGCTGTGCTGGTCACTGCCGTCTTCCTGGATGGGGATCTCGAGACAGGTCACATCAATGGCTGGAGGCATTGTCAGACATGGCCCGGTCGCACCCTCAATGACGCTCATGCATCCAAGCTATGGCCTTCAATCTATAGCTCCCTTCCCAATCCCCCCACTTAACAGTCCACCTGCAGTGCTATATCCAAGCACGAATTTACCAGTTCATGCCTCCAGTGCGAGGCTACTTGTCCCACCTCCCCGAATCATCGGTGAACGAAACCGTGGAGCAGCTACAACCACTGTACAACAAGTAAGCGGTTATTTCAGCTGACAATGATGAATTGCAGACGTGATTGGCTGTAACGCAAAGACGCTTTTGCTGCTAATGTCGACGACTATGATTGATGCTGATATAATTAAGGTAAGAGTACTTTGGCTGAAAGGTCTAAGTTTCAAGTCTTATTTGGACAAGACTGATCTGGTGCTAAGCTTATCAGGTAAGGTAGCGTGCTGCCAAAGGGGCAGAGGCGCAACTGCTACCTGCCATGTACCTAAGTTTGAACACTGTTTGGTTAGTTACAGAACTGAGTGGCCCTGAGCGGACAAAGCATGACCAATGTGTCCTTTTTTGCAGTTTTCCACCTGTTTCTAACTACTGCAGAAAAACACTAATGTTCGCCTACAGATTCGAAACAACAACAAAAGACTTTGATTAAACAGCGCAGTCCCCTGGCCCCACGAGTTCGCATAGTGGACGAATTTATTGGTCATGCAGATGTCCAACGCGTATTCCGTATACGCGAACGCTTGCTGGCTCAGCTGGGAGGAACTGTTTCACGGTTGGGGAATCCTCGGATAATGGTGAATCCTGTCTCCCCTATCACTGGCAAAGGAGCGTCACATTGGTACCGGACGGGTACCAAATGGGTCGACGGATCCAGGAAGAACCAGACGCCGTCCAAGACTTCACCAAATTCTTCAACGAAGTCGGACAATCCTCTTTGTATGCCACCTTTTCCAGCACTTCAATGCGTAGATTTATCTAACAACCAGGTTAGTGCTTTCGAACAGCGATCCTGATTCTGTGTAGTTAGGATTTGTTTTCTTATTTTGACTAAAACAGCTCACTCGAATCCTGAAACACACATTAGAGCCGAGCTGGTTCAAGGGGGGGCACGTTTAAAATATTGTCCTTGTGAGCAGATACCAATTCAATTCTGTAATTGGTCTGGTAGTAAGTACGGTAGTTTAGCTGAACTGCTTTTGTTTTGAAGACACTGTGAAATCCGATTAAATTCCGTCCCGACTTCTTTCGTCCTGATTTCGACTGACCATTGTGAAACTAGGAAGCCGTAGACTGAACTCGCCGAAACTTGCTTCAAAAGTTGTTCCGGTTCCCTTGTCTTGCTCGCATAAATTGCATAAACACACGCCAGCACAAGTCAGACTCGCGACAGAATCCCTTGTTCTTCGGTCAAAATACAGCAATCAGAATTTTAACGGTTTCTGGGGGATGAAGCAGATGGGTCTTTTGCCCAGTCTTGTTCAGCACATCTGTGTCATTTGGTATCCAAATTTGTTCGAATCCGCCCAACGGTTCGCCCATCACAACCGAACGAATTTTTTAAGTTTCTACAACTAAAAAGTTACCTAGACCAATTCTGATAGTCTTGCGGGACTTTACAAAGTCCCAAGTTAGCTTGAAGCGTTCGCAGTATATTCCACCGAATTTGGCTATCTTTCTAACCAATGAGCGTTCAGCATCCCTGCGAATCGAGGACTGGCACTAGTCCCGGTTTCCTCGGAGGTCAACCGGGTTTTGGACTTCATTTCAAACAAGTAGTGTGCTCCGTCCACACAAGATACCCAGATATCAGAAGGTCGCCTTTTTCGAAATATCAGGTTGGGTTTCTTCATGATTCTGTTGGTTTCTCAACAAGCCCGAAAGTGGTTTGCCACTCACTCAGTAGCATTGGCGTTTGCAGAATGCACCTGGAGGTATTCGGAATTGCTAGGTAGCGTTCTTGTAAACTTTGTTCCCTAAAGAATCTTTTTGCCATGAAGGATGCTATTTACGGGGTTGCGGAAAACTCTATGAAAGCCCACGACCGGTCCCACCCTTCTTGGGGCCCATCGGGTGGACGCAGTACCCGAGTTCCTGTTAACCTTATGTTCTACTTGAACCCAGATTAAGCGGTATTGGAAAAAACACTCAGTTGCAAACCAACTAATCACAAACGGCATTCTAGGTCTCCTAGAGATTCGTGCAATCACATAAAGGTGACCAGCAACCTGGCTTACTTTTATTAGGTGAACTAAAGGAGGAACTAGACTGCTTCTGTGCGAAATACATTCACTTGCGATTCAATGGGAGACGTGATAGGCTTTAACGGAATGTGAGGCACAAATGTCACTTGTGTTTCAGTTGGGACGTTACTGGAGTCTTGCAAGGTTTCCAAGGGAAACAGTAGGCGGCCCGTGAAGAATACCACGAAAGAGAGTCTCGGTTGGGATTTAATCAACTCTTCCGTTAATAACTGCCTGATTTACAAGTCAATGTATTTCACGATCGTATCCAATTTGGGTTAAAATGTTTGAAAACTCGAGGATCGGTCCTGTCTGGCAGGCCGAAAAAAGGCAAAGTTCATCGTCGGTTGTCGAATGGTTTTCAGCGACCTTATGAGTAGTATGCCATATTGGCAAAATGTACCACTTCTCCTTCATTTTCTCCCGGGACCTCCAATTGCTTCCCTGCATTTTTGGAATAGAAATATACGACCGCACTTGAATTAATCCTTCATGAACAGTTGGTAATGTACTGGAAAGACCTACCGTCGCTCAGTGACGCTCTAGTCTAAACCCGATAACCGTCAAATAAATAAGCTTGAAGAGACTACTCACAAGGTTGCTGAAAACTCTTCGACAGCCCACGACCGGTTTCGACCCTCGAATATCGTGACAACTGAATAGAATATCATAAACGAGAGATTCAGTTGAGTCTCTCGTGAAAACCAAATTGATTTGCAAATGAGCGTATTTCTCGAAAACAGTCCAATTTGGGTTCAGGTAGAACATAAGGTTGGTGGAAACTCTGGGACTGCGCCTACATGATGAGCCCGAATGGGAAGGGCGAAACCGGTCGTGGACTGTCGAAGAGTTTTCAGCAACCTTGTGAGTAGTTTCCTTCATGAAAATATACAGCGACATCTCGAATATCGTGCCAACTGAATCATGAGGCGGCCTGCGTGCAGCACATTCAGTTGTAGAATATCACAAACGAGAGATTCAATTGAGCCTGTCGTGAAAACCAAATTGATCTGCAAATGAGTGTATTTCTCGAAGCTTGAGGAGTGTTCAGCTGTTAAACCGGAGATTATTTTATCACTCAAATGCAGTCTAGACTACTATGTTAGCGTTTTTGTTCGCAGTTCAGAAGCTACTTTGATGAGAACATAGTAGTTTGTTGTAAACAACGCAGAATAAACGGGGTCCTATAGTGCTGGTTGACTGGTTGCTATCACGAGCGATCTGAGTGATGACATCAGCAACTTGCGCTTCTGTTTTTCACACAGTCACACCGCGGATTCCTTAGACGTTTCCGAAGACACTTGTAGAACGAATGCATTTATAAACACCAACTCCTTAAATGGTTTACAAAAACGGGATTTCCCTTGAGAGCGCGCTACCCGGAAGACGGACATTTCACTTCGAGTGGGATAGCAGACCAGACCTGGCAAACACCTCTTGAGGGAGAAATCACATTAGGGAATCGAAGGTTTAAAGTATTCGAGATTTGGGCTTACTTATTTACCACTAGAATTAGTCTAACAGCTGATTAAACCTTTCATTTCTATCTCCACCCCATGAGAACACACTCAAAATGAGTAAAGCTGACAGGTATTAAAGATGGTTCAGCGAAGATTTACGATTGTGAGCGTGCAAGTTTGTTGGTGTTGGAGACAAAGTGCGACGTTTGCACTTCAAAATCTTCCCATTACTTAACTTCGTCTACTTATTCATTTACTTTTTTAGTTAGCGAGATAGTTCCTTCTTCACTTATCCATTCATTTGTTCACTTCACCAATTTATCAATTGATTAGTCAGCCAATCAAACGGCCTTGTTGACATGAAACTGAGATGCACGACGAGAAATTTTTGTGTAGCGATGTGTTTGCAGTTTGGTCACAAACGTTCAGTCGAGATGATATGACCACTGCGTAGTTAATGGAAGTGCAAGGTTTTTACGCGAGCATGGGTTGATATAGGGTTGATACTCACCAAGGTCAACCTGCCATTGGTTGTTTGGGTGAGCACTCTTATTGGTTTGTTGGTCGGCCTGTCCTCTGATTGGTGGATTTTGGCGGAGACTGGATACATAGGGAGAAGATAGTGCTGTTAATATATTTTACAATCCCAAATCAGCTTGTATTTGTAAGCTATCCTAATCTATTAATAAGGTGGTCGTCACTTTGGTGTATTTTCACCACTCTTTATAGATTGCCTTCGAGGAGCGTCTTCTACCGGTGGCCACATGGCTTGAACTCCGAGAACTGGTGCTATTCAATAATCCTGTGGTGACCAGTCACACTGGAACACCACCTTTGTTGAGAAAGCTGCTGGTACAACGTCTGAAAATTAAGCTGCACTGCACAGCCGAGAGTTCAAATGACAGTGATCCGACTGCAGTCAAAGATGCTCACTCACTCAATTCCGACGCTTCCTCGACCCCCAAAAGACCACCCGTCCTGTTGACCAAAGTTTCTGGACCGCACAGTACGATGTCTTGTAAGCAAGGATTGAGTGCGGTACAAAAAGGGATAAGGCGAGAAAGCCAAACAAAGCGTCCCACGGTCATTCAAGTCTCTGCGCCAATGAGGTACGTAGCAAACGATCTGTTATTTTGATTATACTTGATGTATCTCCAGATTGCGCAATCACTGTTTGCTCCCTGAAGGCGGGTGCGGGGACTTTGTAGCTCTAATTTACTCAGGACTCATTATTCGTTGTTTTTCGCCTCTACTTAGCATGTATCAGTAGTATGTTTTGTGGTTGAACTCAGGTCCGAACCAAGTAATCAAAGTTTGAAAGTGGTGCAGTGTGCTTTCAAACGAATTGCCCAACAGTCCGTAACAACCCCTGAGTTGCAGCCAGACAGAAAAGCGCTCGAAAGTCCTGCCCTCAGCTCTGACACTCTGCGCTCCGAAATCCAACTCCACCGGGGACACCTGCAGAAGGACATCGTAGTCCCCCATTCAACCTCTCCATCCTCACAACGTTCTACAAATGAGTCTCTTGGCGGCTGGGGTGACTCCGACAGTGTGACAGGTGATCAACCCGGTCCTTCCAGAGCACAGGTGGGTGATGATTTTATGCGATGTTTAGAAGTTGCTTTCGAAAATTGCCAAACGGGTTTTATGGGGCCAGTGTTTTTCAAAACCGAAGGATCTTCACTTACAGGACGGCAAACTTCCTTCAGATCCCGTTTTGTCTGGAGCGAAATGAAACTAAGGCAGTAATCTTTCTGGAGTTGGTCAGCTAGGTTGACAGGAGGACGAAAATTCCGGTGGAAAAAACAGTGTAATTGACACAGATTCAACGAAGCCTTGCGACTTATTAGGGTGTTAGGCAGCCACAGGAAAATAACTCCTAAAAGAAGTGAAAAGCAACCAGGCAGCTACTGCTGGGCCGGGTGCACTCGTGTGTCACCCACAGAAGGCCACCATTAAGCGAAGCTTCTCACACCTAAGAACTACATTTCACAGTCTGCTCCATGACAACAAAACGGCGTGTGCAGTGTCTGTCAGTTACGAGCGTTATATCAATATATTGATATACTTTATCGGTGTTTGGGTGCTGCAACGCCAGTAAACAAAAATGCAGTAGATTAATCAATTTCCCCATTTTCTTCGGGAACCTTCATCGCATTCCACGTATCTAGTGGGACGTTTTTCTCCAGGTTCTTTTGTGTTCTCCAGCACCAGTTCTCAAAAACCCGCATTTTTAACCTGCAGTTGGCTGCGCTTTTTACGAAGTAATTGAATGGCATCACTCTCTATTCGCAAATGTGAAAAAAAGGATTTTAAAACCACACAATGCCCCTGCGACATTGGGCTGGAGCGCTGAGTCACTCTGTCATCCTGGATTCTCACTGGTCCGCTGGGAACACGTGACCCTAGTGCACCTATTGATTCATTCCTGATCTAGTCAGTTAACCACGTGTCCCTTTTTGACTTAGTATTTTTACTATTTGTCGATAGAAGTTTTTAAAACACCGTATGTGTTCGAGTATGACGATGAGGAATTAAAGAGGACTCCTGCATTCAAATATATGCTCTGAATCAGACTCCAGTTGTTAGGTCTTCCACAAAGATCGAATAACACCAGTCAAAACACTCACGAGCAGCCGGAAAAAGCCAATAGGTCGTTTGTACTAAGTTTCACACCTAGGTTTACTGGAGCATTTCATGTTCTCGTCACAACGTTACCTTTTTACATTACTCGTGTTAACTGTGGTTACATTCAATAACTTCGTGACCAGCTTAGTGAGGACAGGTGATAGAACGCAAAAAAGAACCTTCGGAGAATTTTTTGTCTGGATATACTACTGATCAGCGCCCAATGCGGCGAGGGTTTCAGATATAGCGTGGAGAAACGCGTGTCCTAGACGGCTGTACTTTTGGTTGACGGCGGTGCCGCCACGGTGCACTGACAAAAGCAGAATGTGTCTCTTCTGAGTCTACTACACAGTAGTATCAGTTTTTGTCTTATCTACTGAACCATGTAAATCGGTTGTGAACGTTTCATCACTAATTAACTTGACGTCATCAGCGCTTTGTTGGGGACGGTGTGGGCCAACCAATAAAAGCATCCGACCGAACGACCAATCGTATTCGGAGGTCAGCTCCGGCTAGTAGCACGCCAACGCAGCACTACTTCCGCACAGTCATTTATATCCCGCTACGTGCTATTCCGTTCCCGAACAGCAAACTGATGATACATCTTCGATCGCCCAGCTTCGTGAACAAATTAACGATCATCTAGACTACCTCGGCCACCGACATTTACCTCAATACATTATCAGTTTTGCTCCTTTCTTCCCATGAGTATCTTTGGAACTTTACATCCTTTTTAAGCGAATTCCGGTGAATTTATGTCATTAAACGAGTTGCGCATTCCGAGAGGTTATTTCTCAACCAATAGTCGCGTGAAAACTATAGAAGTTAGGCACATAATATATGTAATATATACTATATAATGTATAATATATAATGCAATACTCGTAGAATACCAGTACAAAAAAGTGATACAAACTTGAGAGTGGGATAGGAGTGCATGATGCGGAGAATTTGGCTTGAAAAGACAGTGAACCATAAAGGAATCCAAGGTATTGTGGCCAGTGGTATCCTTCGACTTACACCACCGCGTCTCCTTACTACCGCATCTGCAGATAGATGGCCGTCTACTTACACACATTTCCGAGGTGAATAAAACAGCTTTTAACTTGCAACCAGCAACACACACCCCGAATTATTTGTGAAAATTTGCAGTTCCTGAGTAGCAAAAGGTGTCAAATCGACTAACCTGAACTTTCAGACTGTTATATCTGACTGCTGTTCCCGCTCCATTGCCTAGTGCCGGATAAAAGACTCACTGATAAGGAACACAACAGCTTTATGGCGAACAAACGGGAGCGTGCGGGTGCAAAAGTTACAACGGCCCTGTGCCATTTAACTGGCACTTTGACATTGATCCACGTCACGTTCATTCCATCCGCAACATACACACGCTCTTAGCACAGAGACAACACCTGAGATATCCTTCTGTCTAGAAAGCTGATTACATCTGTTTTGACTGCATACAACATTTGGCTACATTCGGTAAACTAGAAGGTAGTTGAAGTTCCGACACAGTGAGTACAAATGGCTCACACAAACTGTTTTGAAAAACTTCAATGTGGCAGCATGAATGTTCTATCAAATCCACACTGAATTCCAACATGAAATCCTTGATCATCCATATTGTTCAATTCCCACTGACAGTACCAGTTTTTCAGCATTCTTGTTAGGCTAACTTCACCACACATGGGCTATTCGAACCCGTGACTTGACACTGCAAACTGAAGTGGCGGTTGTGTTAGCAGCCAACCGCTGTGCACATGCACAGCGTCCAGCGTCCAGCCAACCACAACTCACGTGACGTCTTAAGAATGTTGTTGATCAGGTGGTTGTTGGTCTGTTCGCCGAGCTTGGCAACTGAATTGCAAACATTTTGTCACCAAATGGGGAGACATCATCGGCGCGCAGCTGGGTGGGTACTTCCTCTGTGCCTGCATGCATTTATATTGCATCTGAGGATTACCTGTTATCTTTAACATGATTCGCTAGTTGGGTGAGAGCGCTTTCAGGAAATTATTGGTCCTTTTGTTATCTTTGTTGCGCTGAGGTCTGAGTTCCTTTCACTCGACTGGTTATCTTAGTGCCTTCTATTTTTAGTGGTCTCTTCCCTCGCTTTGAATGGCCCCTTCTCCAATTGCCTGTTTTTCCCGAGTGTGATTGGTTGGTTGCACTGCCCTATTTGCTTCGTTGTAACGACTGGTGTTTTCGCGACTGCTTACTGACTGGATGTCTTCTGCAAGCAAACGAATGTGCCCGTTTGAATTGGGCTTTCCTGCTTCTTTTATGAAGAACTGGTCTGTTTGTTTGTGCATTACAGAGCTCTGTGGTTCTGGCGTTTTCCTGCCCTTACTGGTTTAGAAATAGGGTCAATTTTAATGCTTCTTGATTGCTTCTTCGATGGAGTACCATTCCCATTCGCTCTTCGTTCATGATAAGGCCAGGGTGCGAACACTGCCCCAGTCGAACTCGTTTCCGTCGTGATCTTTGTGCACGGTGATGAGTAAAGACACCGTACTTGTTTTTTTTCAAGCTTTGATTAGCAAAGATCGACTTTTCATGTCCAGACCTGCGGTTTCAAATCTGTTGCTTGGTTTTCGATGGCAACGTCACGCACTACTGATAGGCAGGTATCCTTGTCTAGTAATGACGAGTTGAAGCACCTTAACACTACTGACGAACGTTTAAACTAACTTAACTTGTCGAGTGCAACCCGTTGTCCGAAAACGAACGCGGCATATACTACTGATACATTTCTAAAGCAGTGATGAATTGCTATCTTCCCCGCTGACTATCTTTTCGTTTACTGCTAGCCAACCGATTTCGTGGATGACCATCAGGAGCATACCTGTATTCAAAAACCTACTCCAGCCTTGGGATCCATTATACCAGAACAGACAGAATCAGACTCCATTTTCCCCTATCCAGGTCCGATTCTCCCTGGATTACCCTGGTTGGTAGAAGAGAAAAACCTACCCGAGTGTAAGTTGCCAAGTTAGTAGTAGTATTCCTTCAAATGTTCTGTCCAAAAACGCTCTCAAATTGGGAGGTATTTTGAAATTTTACCTGGATTCCATCTGCGAAGAACAGCTCTAAATGGTCGAGTATTAGGGCTGCTCAAAAGCACGTCTTGTACGCCAGTGAAAGGAAAGCATCCTGAGCTGAGTTGTGCCAAAATCAATTTTTGTCGCCCCTCAGGACTTTCCAGTCATTTAGCTCCATTGACGCTTGGAACCCGCTGGAAGAATTTCGATTCTGTTGAAGGTGGTTGCGGGATTCACACCGATCTCGACTGATCAGTTGTCCTCCTGTCCTGACATAATTTTTCCCACACCAAAGAAGGGAAACCACTCTTATTGAAGTTCATCAGCAGTATATATCCTTGGCCACGCCGAAGTTCCAAATCATTTGAGCGCTTTCGCATGTTCAGACGTGAAAACTCAAATGTGTTCTGTGTGTGCTTATGGCCATGGCGTTCCTCCCGATTTGTTGGTGGGGGTGACGTACAGGGAAATCGGAGGTTTCTACTGTGACAGCAAGCCAGATATGGAAAGAATGGAGCGTTACAACTTGTCGCTACACCACATATACATTCAACAGACCTGTCTTGCACCACAAGTGAGGCGTTCCCCGACCTGCAGTGCGAGAAACGTCGTGCTTGTCTGGGTTACTGCAATGGCTTTATGGTAGGACCTTGTGATCTCCGACATGGCATAAGCAATGGGACGTTCCTCGGTATAAGGAAACGATTTATGGTGCACTATCTCACCAGCTATCTGCATGGGTTTACAGAACAGGGTTGCAATCAAACTCCCTGTGTGCCATCGCCTGCTATACACAGTGTAGCTGGTAGGCTCTCCAATGTATCCGTGAATGACCTTGTCATCCAATCTCCTATCTGCTTTTTGCTTGAAATACATTCCGTTACATTGGTAGTACATCAGCTCGGCAATCATACAACAAAATAACGCGGCGCGTGTATTGTTTTGGTCATTTTATCACACAACAGCAAGTGACTCATTCATCAACGACGCGGTTTACATCACTTGACTTCTCGGGCAAGGAGTTACTCACGTAGGTGATGGACTACTCGTGGCCGAATGGCATGCACTTTAACTATTAGCCGAGAGGTTGTAGGTTCGAGTCCGGTTGAGGATTCATGAGACGCTGCTGATAATTCCCAGAAATGATGAAGTGGGAATTCATTATGTCTCGGATTTTCAGTTTAAACTGGTTCAACTGAAATATGAAACGCTTATGTCTGCTAGAGATTATATCGCGTGAATTTGTGTGTGTGTGACGTCTACAAATGAAGTGAATGAACAAGGAGACTTGACAGACATCTCAGCTGATCAATTTTACCGGACAAGGGGGACAGCTAATCGAGTTTCCTGTATTAAGTACAAATTTGCTGACGGTTGTCTGTTACCCCGCTTCTGTTGTGTCTCTAGACGGCATTCATTTTAGTTGACCAGTAGTCGCGCTTCAGGATGACGCCCCATTTTTTTCAAAGATAGTACGGCATGTGGTTTCAAGAAGCAGTGCCGTCCGGGTTTGGTAGAACCAATCCATAATGGTGTAAGACCATTCCACACTCGATTGCCGATCACCAGCTGTTAAAATTTAGGACACTACCTCAGCATGGATTGACGCTGTCTCTAGTTTCAGACTTTTGAGGGGCCCTTTCATCCGGTGATGGTGATGGTAGGGACAAACAACGCATGTGTAACCTTTTTTACGAAGTTTTTCTATGTGACAAGCACTCAGTGTAACCTGTTTCTCCCAAACACTGACTAAGTGCACTGAATTCCTGAGTAAACAACGGTTCTTTTAAACAACAGTTCAAATGGCGGTTGTTTGTGAATACTCATTGATCGGTATGGCGCGCGAATTACATATTTTGGTCAAGTTCAAATTTTAAAAAGCAATCTATCTTTTATCAAAGCCAGAAAACCCTTTTTCTCCGCCTTACAGCTATTTCAGTTCATTTGCATGAATCCTTATAAGGAAAAAAGGTCACATTAGATGAGATCACTCATCAATAGTACTAGGAGAACCAGCTCCGAACGTAACGGGACTATATAACAGCCAATGGAATAACCGTTTTCGCTGAGACAGATTTCATTGGTTGTTCTTCACTCGTCTTTGACAGATGAGTTGTATTCTTAGTATCACTTTTTTCGACCCGCTTGTACGCGACAGTAATCAATAGATCGGCCGGATCGCACGTTCATTGACTTTTCTGGTTTGGCCAAACGCACCAGGCGATCACGTGGCTATCCATACCGGGATTCACGGTAATAAGAAGGCATTAAGGAGACTGTGGTCCACAATAAATAGCTTATTGAAAACAACGGCGAAGCCTACATCTCAATCAGCCCAGGAAAAACTGGATGGACAGCAGTTAGCCACCATGTCTTGTTGGACCCCATCCAATCAACGAGTGAGTCACGCGGGCAAAGTTTCAAAGGATGGATGACACCGAAAGCACCCAGTATTTTCGTAACACCCCTCTTCTATACCGTCAACTTTTTTTTCGTGCCTCTAAATAGAACTTGTTCTCATAAGTTCCATCACTACTACATTATTCTCTTTGAACAAAATAGCAACGTACAGTCCAAAAACAACACCGCATATATAACATAACGACAATCAGAAATTGATGCCGTTCCACTGTTGACTCGCTTCTTCCATTTATGATCCTGCGCATAATATATTTATCGTCAACAATTCCCCGGTTTCTTCAACGGTCCGCCTTTTTGTAAAGACCATTATCTTCCTGGTTGGTTGTGAGGAATCACGGTTCTTTTCTTATTTCTCTCCTTCCAGGCATTCAGGTTTGTCTGGGTGAGCTCCGACATTTGAAACAACGGCAGCCAAACCTCTGTCCGTCCATTGGCGCATCCGTCACAGAATCGATTAGACATGACGCTGGAACGAAGAGCATGCTGAAAGTAGCACAATCTGTATTGAGACCACCAAACGAAAATTTGGCCATGGAAAAGAATGAGAAGCAGTTAGACCCTGATTTGCGAGAAAAAATCATCCTTACAGGCACACTGCGAGCTCATCCGCAAACGGTTGGTGTTCGACGATTTCTCGGTGTATATTTCTCTACTCATATTTTGTTAGTAGTGTAAGTTATTCGTTGCTTTTCATGCCTCAGCCTGTGACCGGAGATTGCCCTTGGACGCAGTCGCTCAACGTTGAGAAGTTTCCACTGCTCACCCACTCTGACTTTACTTCGCAAGAAGGACTTCTGTAATGGGTTTTTCGTACCACTCACCTATCTATATTCTTGAAAAATGAGAGTTCCACAAATCGGTACTTTCATCATCACCATCATCATCATCATTGTCAGCTGTGATAACCGCGTACTCGTCGTACAGCGGCTGTAGCCGCCGCGGTTTCCTTCACCGATGATTTGGAAAGGAGTAGGTAGCTGCGCTGTGGAAGGACCAATCAGAGCTCTAGCACGGACTGAGAATGTACTAAAAACGCGTCTAACCAGAGGATTTAATCATGACCTTCTCCACTCTGCGCTGGTGAATCACTATTTCCCAGCTGGATAGAGCTCACGTGCTCGCTTCATCGCCAGACCGCCGCTGTTAATCGGAGGGCATCATTGTGAGCATTTTGATAGCTCTGTGTGATTAAATGAAGCAGCCTATTGGGGTCGCAGCTGATAACTAGCTGCAGACATCCCGCACATTCGTGTTTCCACTGCCTCTCTCCGTTACCGGTTCAGTTCTTTGGTCGCCAAAAAAACAGAACAACTCGTCGTGTTCTTGACCGATTTTACCCATGCTTTTCGGGGTCCGAAAGTAAACACTTATTAACAACAATGTTGTTCAATAATAATTGATCTTCCAATCAGGTTTTCGGCGAGAAACTTTACAGCACACAGTAATGCTTTCACTAAATGTATGCTACCTAAACACGGCCTGCAGTGTCAATATTCACGACATATTAAACTTGTGGATATTTTTTCTTTGGAGATAACTCATCATCAACGTGTTCATCAGTGTTCGACACCGATGTTTCGTTGCCGTAAGACATCATGGTTGTACGTAGGCTGAGATTCTGTCAGGGTGCCCACACCTGGACAGGAGGACGATTAGGGTCCTCAACCAAAGCGTTTGGCTCAAAAGCCTAACTGCAAGGCAGCGGTGTTTGGCGGGAAATGCAAATGCATTACCATTTCTACGGAACAAGTCGCCACATTTTTCAACCCACCCTAAAGGACCAGGAGACTGTGTTTGTCAGGCCTCTAACGAGTGACCGACCTGGTATGAGGGACTCTGTGAGTGTCTCAGAGACAACCCCAGTATGACTCACTTGGTCACTGAGGTGCGGAAACCGTCGAAAGCCGGTAAGGTCCAGTCTCCTCGTGATGTTTGCAGCTTACTAGTTGTGAACTGATATTACCACACTCCAAAAATGATATTCAAAAGACATTTTGACCAATTAGCAATCCTGTTTGACCCAGTAAGTAGCACCGTCCAAAATTATTCAGTTACCTCTTTTGAGCAGGCCAAAAAGGAATGTTTACTTCTGAGAGGCGATCATTTCACCTGAGAAGGTGGAAATTCATTGCGTTCTCAGGTACATACGAGTGACCTTATTCGATTGATAGCAAAATGAAGCAGACGATCGTCTCACAAGGACTACACTGGTTCGGAATTTCAACTGTCCAAGTTCCCCGTCTACTTTAACAGATTCAAAATGGAATTAGTCAACAGACATTTAAGCATAAAGGACGAAAAAATGAAGCTAGGCTTCATGATCATAACAAGAGAGTGCCGCAATCAAATTCCCTAATCATCGTGCTCCCCAGTGTGTTGATCTTCACTTTCGCCATGGTCGTCATCACGAAATTAAGATTTTGCCTATCTCCTCTTGATAAGTGGCCACAATTTTCCGCCCACTTGCATTAGACAAAACTTGGCAAGCCGTGTTTGCAAATAGAAAGGGATAAAGTTAGGTTGGAGTTGGAAAGTCGCCTGAGCAGAAGTGATCATACTACAACAGCGAAGAAGCTGGTTGGGTTAAAAGTAATCACGAGCTAAGTGTCAAGACTATGGAAAGTTATGCGGAACACTTCAAACGGGGGGGAGTAACATTAGCACAGACAAGACTCCTGTTATACGAGAGGAAGTGTGGAGAATCTGTCCTCACCAGCCTCGTTGCATTCTAGTCCTAAATTGCAAGTAGCCATCAAAAGCCGACCCTGACCCTTGAAATTCCCATCTTTTGCCCATCCGGATGACGGATTCAAATCAACTTAATAAAACCGTTCCATCATCCACTCGTTCTGCACTTTCCCTCTCAGGTCTTGCCCTCTGCTTCAAGTTCCGCGACCGAACTCAAACCACTGAACTCCGTGGCTGTACGAAGCTCTCCACCGAATGCCATCAACACGACAATCGATCGAAGGGACACTAGAAAATTGAACAGAAACATTCGTGTTCTGGATGAAGTCAAGAAGGTAAATACTTTTCTCGTCAGTCGTTATATGGGGGTTGTTCCTGTTGATTTTGTCGCGTGTTCTGAAGCTTCTCAGGCGGATATGCTTGTACCGGTCTCCATTGTCTTAAGCCAGCGTTGACCTCAACTACCTGACTGCAGCGTACGCCCGCCTCCTGCTGTTATGCTGGCCTCCAATGTTTAAAAGTAGATTCTTGTTATTGAGAGCTTACATGTTCAATAATAGTAAGGTCGAATTGATTTGCACAGTCTTATAATGCCGTAACCGGTTTTTGGTGCCAAGTTTTGTCCATCAATGTGAGAACTTTCCTACGAGAAACAATCCCACTGATGGACGGTTTTTTTAGGGTTCTACCCACTCATTCTGCTCACTACTCATTCTTCTCCACTACTACTTGTGAGCAAGAGAGCAATGTGGGAATCTTTGAACCGGATCGTCGCCTCAATTCACAACATCCACATCGTTGACGTTCCCGCCTGCAAGTCATAGAGCATTCGTGTCAGCCAATTAGCGGACTCCACCTCAAGGTCGGTTGACTGTAACCAATGAAATGACAAAGTTGCTGGCGTGCTAAGACCATCGACGGACTTTGGCCGCTGGACCCGTGAATGACCATATATGGCCATCCATTCATTTGCCACATACCCTGGAACTAGTTTTTCATCCAGAAGTACTCATCTGCGTTAGGTATCAAAGACCTGTGGATTGAGGTTTATCAATCTTCCACTGGGACATGGGTCTCTCCAGCCAGAGCTGGAGAGACAGGTTTGATGAAGTAGCACTTTCCATAGGCCTCGGAAAGGCTTCTAAGTTCCATTCATCATCCCACAAAGTCACCCTGGCAACCATCATATTCGGACAGCATTAAACTTATACTGACTACTAAATCAATAAACACTTTTCGGTAAAATTTCACCGTAATTCACTCAACTGGGCATGCAGAGAATAACTGCTTGTCCTTTACTGTGTTCCAACGAGATCTATTTGATATTTTTATGCGCTTTCATGCCCGCTTATTCACTCTTGTGCAGGAGCCGGAGATACATGCGGACTATTCGCCTATCGATCATTTACTACCAGAATGTGTGCCTTCCCTATGCAGTAGTCATTCCCTGTTACATTTTACATCTTGATCAACTTAGGGGTCGATCTGACTTACTGGTTCGAGCTCTTAGCACAGTTGTATACCAGTGTGGATACACCTCACTTACCCTTGTTTCAACTGACATCTCAAATAACAGCCCACCTGACTTTGCGAAACCTTTCTTTTCTTGACAGGTTACTTATATTACGTGAGTAGTGATATTTTCGTTGATTATCGGAGTTCAGTAAAAGCCCTCATCGAGGATTTTCCGGTCTAGTGGGTGTCTGATGAATCGATCAAAACAAAAAGTGAAAGACACGCTGACGTAAAAAGTGAACAGTTGGTAAAAGGCGTCTGATTTTCGGCTATCTGAGTTGTTCCAGGCCGCCTGCGAGTCACTGCAGTGTGCTCCTAGGCACCTGAAACCTCACCTGGGGACAATCGTCCTAGCAAGGAGGAACCGCGGAGGGAACGCCCTTCTCGAACAGTCGGGACGTGTGGTTAGAGGACAGTTACCCCCTTCGAGATTAACTGCCATCGGAGAGCCACACACTTTTACTGTTTTGCTCTAACGTAACGGTGCCTGTATAAACAAGTGGTGTCAGTCGAAAGCCTCGTGGAATTGAAAGCCGCTCTTTTTGAAAATAAATAAAACGGCCACGGGTCAACCCGTCGGAAGTCTGTTTACCATGCAAGCAACTTGTTGAGCTGAGCAAACCCAATAACTACCGAGAAACTTATCACATGTTTGCTGAAAAGTTTTCGACAGCCCAAGAACAGTTTTATCCCCGGGTTTCCGACAAACTGAAGTTCCACCTGAATCGCAGCCATATTATAGTCTTTGACGAGCTTAAGAACTTAAAAGTGCCACCACTACAAGGGTGAAGCATAGAGAAGTTAATAATTGATCCAGTCGATGTGCAAAATCTTTTTGACACGATCTGCTGTCCACATGTCTGACAGACAATCGAGAAGAATGTGGCTATGCGAACGAGACCGCAGAGGTACAACGCAGCCCTAACCACACATACGGCGTGGAGCCGGCGAACTGCGCCCCTCATCCTGTTCCGAAACAGTTTTTTGTGTGAGAGGGGAAAGACTGAGCAGTTAATTTATACAATTACAAAATTTCGACTCAAGTACGGCATGCCAGCGAGAATGTCATCCCTAGCATTTTGCTCGCAGTTGTTTCCAAATTAGGACGCCGCCTCAAAACAAAGTTGTTGTCAACACGTGTGGAACTACAAAGTAGACGATCCATGAACTAGAATACAGCACGGGTAAGTAAATCTTCCTGTCTGTCGAGTGGGATGTCTTGAGTTTTGCGCCATGAGATGAGTGATGATACGGAGTTGAACGAAAGAAACCGAAGCAAACTGGGAGGTCATTTGAGAGAGTTACTAATTAGAACAGCAGGGATTGTGTGGTGTACGGTATTTTTCTCAGCTTAGTTCTCAGTCTGAGCCTCCCAAGCTAGCTTTCACGTCAAAACAACCACCAAAGGTGTACAAGGTCTATTAACGCCCCAAACGAAGTCAGGAACACTTGTACAGCGCTTCATATATATATATACCGTAGGCAGCAATAACTTTCTGGAAATTCTGACGCGTTGTGGATGCGCAACCGGCATTCGGCCAATACTGAGTCATGATTGACTGTTGGGTTCAGACTTCCGACCAATCAGATCTCGCCTTGATGCCGGACTGGCGAGCGTCCCGAATTCTTGGCCAGTCTTGTGTGGGATGGACTTCTCGGCCGTAGCAGCATCTGAGTGCGAGTGGTAAAGAGGGATCCGTATGGAATTCCGCCTAACAGTTTGGAAACTGTGAAGCAGGGCGGGCTAAGATGGGTTGAAGCACCTCTTGGGATTGGGCTGACTGCCATGTCGTCTCCAGTCATTGATGCCTTTTATATTCCGACTTCCCACCAATTAAGTAACATCTGTAAATTAGCCAAACTACTGGCTCTTGATCGGAAATTAGTGTGCTTTTTGACAATTCACGATAATAAAGGTCACAGGTCCCCGGGCTCAACGTATGCACCTTTCGCCTCGTGTTTGGGAACGTCGCATTCGGTCCTATCGGTATTGATAAACTTTGCTGACCAAACGTGTAATCTAACTGCCCTTCCCTGTCAATGTGACAGGTCCATTAGTACAAATTAGTAAACTCTTCACAAAGCGCTCCTGGGTGGCAAAAATGTAAACTAGTTGAAGACTCGAATTTCTGATGCAAGCGGAAACCTTTATTTCCCATTTAAAAACAAAACTCTTAGTTTGGACGTAATGCGCTACTCATAAGGTTGCTGAAAATTCGTCGACAGCCCACAACCGGTTTCGCTCTTCTTGGGGCTCATCAGGTAGGCGCAGTCCCCGGGTTTCCGTCAACCTTATGTTCTACTTGATACCAAATTGCACGAAATTAGCGAATATACACTCATTTGCAAACAAATTTGGTTCTTTCGAGACACTTACCCGGAACACAGCTGAATCGCACTTTTATGATGTTTCTAAGCTACCGGTTTCGCCCTTCCTATTCGGGCTTATCAGGTACGGGCACTCTCCGAGTTTCCTTATGCATTATGTTCTATTTGAACCGAAAGTAAACAGATTTCGGCAAAACACACTCATCCGCAAACCAGTTTCGTTTTGACGGGAGTCTCGCTGAATCTTTCGTTAGGTTGAAGCGGGCCGGTAACAAAAACAAGAGCTTCACCTGGATGCAATTCGGTCTCCTGTCAAAACCGAATTCTTGTGCAACTAAGAGTATTTGTCGAAAACAGTTATTCATTTGCATCAGTCCCGTAATCAAATGATTCGGTTGCATTGGAAGACAAGTTGACTTTACTATGCACTGAGAGGAGCACTCACGTGACGAATGGAAAAGTTTTCAGAAACCTTGGTGCTTAGCCACGCTCCTGAGCTGACCGTCACTCATTCTCCCTGTCTAAGTGTTCGAAACAATGCTTGGCGTGGAAGTCATTCTAGAGACATTCAGAGTACATGAAGTACACTCTCAAAACCGAGGCCAATCAGGCCTGCATTCACACATAGTCGTTCCTCAGTCGATATGTGTTTCCTTTATCAAAGCTGGCCAATGGAAGAATCGATGATCGGAAACCGCGATGGATGGAGCAACAAAAACGTGGGGAACATTCTCTTGATACAGCACATTGCTTATAAGGCTGACGAAAACGCTCCACGATAGACGTTTCGACCTTTTTCGGGGGGTCGTCAATTAGGCGTCATCACCGAGGTCCCATCGAACTCATGTTCTCCCTGAACACCAGATACCCGGGGGATACTCGAGTAGATTTCTAGTTTCTTCAGCTGAATTTGTTGCACGAACGCTGCACCCTACTTTGGTTGGCACGGTCGTTAAGATACCGCAGTCAATATTACGCATGCAGTGCGTTGTGGTAACAGTACCAATAATCTTCACAAGGTTGCTGAAAAATTTTCGACAGCCACCGGCCGGTTTTATCCTTCCGTTTTGGGCTCATCAGGAAAGCCGATTAAAGAGAAGTGGTAGAACCGCACTGAATGATTCACAACTAATTAAATCGAACAGTTTTCAGCAACCTTGTGAGTAGAGTCCTTTGTGAAAACATACTGTGATATCACGAATATCGTGCCAAATGAAACATGAGGCGGCCTATGGAAAGCACTTTCAGTTGAGCGTCACAAACGAGAGATTTATTTGAGTCTTCCGTGAAAACCAAAGTGATTTGCAAATGAGTGTATTTGTCAAAATCAGTCCAATTTGGGTTCAAGTAGAACGGAACAGTTGACGTGAACTCGGGGACTGCGCCTACCTGAATTAGAAGGCCGGAACCGGTCGTGGACTGCCGAGGAGTTTTCAGCAACCCTGTGAGTAGTTTCCTTTACAAAAATATACTGCAATATCTCGAATATCGTGCCAAATGAAACACAAGGTCGCCTTTGTGGTCTTTGTCGATGTACTGATAATCGCTTTCCTGTAAAACGCTTCCAGTATCCATGCGACCCGAAGAAGCACAACGGCTGAGATGTTGCCGATGTTTTTAAGGGTTATATCATGAAACTGGACCTCAATATTTCGAACGTCTTGCTAAGTGTAACATGAAGCGATTTGTTTACTTGGTGAATGCTATTCATTAGAGATTCAACTAGAATTCACCAGAATCCCTGTGTGAACACCAATTTAATTTGCAAATGAATCCGGTTCGCGCTAATTTCGCCCCAACTAATTAGCAGCTATACACTAGACGTGAAATTGCGGTAATTTGATGAACTCACATTAACACCGATCGACCATCAATTAACAAGAATGATCCACTAAATTAATTTAATCCTCTTCCAGTCATGATGAGCGGACAGAGAGTTTTACCAAATTAACCCCAGGCCGTTTGCTAATTGTTCACTGGTCGTGTTTACCAAGAAAGCGCAGTCTAGTGTCGTCGGAGCACACATCAATCTGAATGCGAATCGCTCGGCCCATGGCGTGTATGTATGTTCCGGCCCAAGTGGTTAAGGGCGCAAATTCACTGACCGGAAGGTCCGTGGTTCGAATCCTACCTCCGCCTCTCGAAATCCCCTGGGGCAACCTGGCAGTATCCCAGCCCTGGTGCTTCCTTCGCGTGGCCTGGCAGCTAGGCACCGGAAGAGTGCTACAGCTGAACGGTTTTTTTATGTTCCGGCTTGGTGGCTTGCCAACGGGTCAATTATCAGCACTTTGGGCTAATTGGTTCACCAGCCTCCAGAAACGACACTTAATTAGGAGGGGTCGGTACACAACCCACGACTAGTTCATTTTCACGTCCTCTGGCATAAATGCGGCTAATGACGCTGGGAAGAGTTGATCAGAATATTCAATCAATCATTACTTTTTTTGGGGTATGGATGCTATGTGACTCGAAGGAAGCCCGGTGATATTTTTAAGGTTGCGCAAGTCTTGACAAGGGGAATCGTAAAGCCACGAATGAGTTAGAATCACAGACCTGGTTGTCTGTAGTTGACGCCCCAGGAGCACGATTGAATAACTGACCCGTATTGTACATATTTTGTGGATGGCGCTCTTCATTCCGCGACTATTATCCTGTGTAATTATTCCTAATCGTCGCTGATTTCACCGACTTCCTGATTGTTTCAGATGGGTTGATATCGACCAACAGAGTTTTCACTGCCAATCGTCATGAGCTCTGACAACGTGGTAAACAGTCATCAGTGGCATTTCTGCAGCAATCGATTCGTTTGGACATGCCCTCACGAAAACTTATTTACCAGTCCCGTATCGACTATATGTGCTTCTGTAAATCTGAAATTTCAGTTTCTTTCGATAACAAATATTCTGCCAAGTGTCATTCGTACTGCTAGGGTGATTTCAAGGTCACAACGGATTTTTTGACTGTCCACAAAAGTGCAGTGCACTAAACAGTGTTCGGGAGGTGTGTGACAATCAAATGATGCGAAACTGTTCCACTCGGGGAGGGGGAGAAGCTTTAGGCTTTGTTGTGTCTGTCATAGGGTAGGCATATGACAGTTTTAGGGGCAGGATACAATTCAATTCATCTAGACTGGATAAGGTCAGCCAGGACAATTCTACTCATATGTATCTTCCTCCTTCCTGGGCGTAGTGCTCTGAGAAAAAAGTAAGAAAAAGATGTTATTTTTGAGACCGATTAGGTAGTCATTGTGTCAGAGAGGTTTGGTAAACAATTGGTGCATTTATTGCTGGGCAACGTTTCGCTTTTGACACAAAAGCTTCATCAGGCCAAGTGAGTAAGCAAGTAAGTAGGTTGATTGGGTTTTAGGGCAGTCTGGGAACCAATCGGTGAGATTTCTTATGACTAGCCTACTTGATCAGTGCTGGGTGTCAGTTTCATATTCCTGTCTGTTGGTTATTGTGGATGACCAACAATTATGATAGATATGTTAGGGGGAGGAGCTATCTTCATGTTGAACCCGGATTTCGCGGCTTCGCTTTTTCTGTCTGGGACACCCTAATGGAGTATGCCTCTTGGGGTCGGTCACGGATTTTGTTCATCTGTTTTCATCCAGCGGTGCCGGGAAAGTCAATTTGGGGTGGGGGTGATTACTCTACTTGGAATTTGTACTTTTAGACCCCGACCATTTTGCTGATAGCTGCACACCGTCTCGTGTCATCTCGGCTGATCTAAAAACCGCTCTCCACACGCTCGCCAGTTTTACGCCCTCTATTCTCATCACCATCATCATCATCATTGTTAGCTGTGATAACCGCGTACTCGTCGTACAGTGGTTGTAGCTGCCGCAGTTTCGTTCACCGAGGATTCGGGAAGGTGGGGTAGGTAGCTGTGCATTGCCGGCAGGAGATGATAAATTGGTGCATAAATCCAGCACTGTCAGTGGGCTGTCAAGTGGGGGGATTGGAAGGGAGCTATGCATTGGAGACAATAGCTAGGATGCACGAGCGCCATTGAGGTTGCGGCTGGGCCATATCTTACAACGTCTCTAACCATTGATGTGGTCCTTCTCGGGGTCCCCATCCAGGTAGACGGCAATGACCAGCGCAGCTGAGTTTGCTGGTAGTGGCTTTCACACTTCGCTGCCAAGTTATTGTCTGACCGCCTCTGGCTCTCTTCCACCCTTCACGCGAAAAGGGCCCTTTGAGGTCGACTGGCATACGTAGCACGTGGCCAAGCCAGCGCAACCTATGCAATCTATCGAGTGGGTTATTTCTCCCGAATACAATTCGACGTACTTCAGCATTGCTGATCCGGTGTTCCCACCAGATTCGGGCGATGCTCCGAAAACATCGTTGATCAAACACTGAATTCTTTCAACGCTGGGATGCTTGGCGATTTCCACCACCTCGGCCACCAGCCCTTGTGGTGTGAATCTAAACCCCCGGTTCTGGAGGTCCACATTTTCCAAATGTATCCTGTACCCAATGTCTGTTGCATGCCCTACTATTGCCGAATCTTTGACTGTCGCCTGGTATTCGTCTACGTTTCTCGGGGGTCTGTTAATGAACCGTTTATGCTCACCGATTCTAGTGTGCTATTCCCTGGCTGTCTGACCTATATAAAGCTTCGTAAAGTCAATACACTTTAGTTTGCATACACAGACCTATCAACAGAAGGCGACCCTTCAACTGCACCAACACTGAGCGTAGAGTCTTTCCCTTCTGGAATGCGATTCTAATGTTAGCTGCATTCAACACCTTCTTCTAACGACTTCCCTGTTTTGTATGGTATGATTGCTGTTCCGATCCACCCCTTGTTGGGCCTTGATGTTGGGACCAATACCCGTCTTAGCTGCCGCTTCATCAAACCCATTGGGTATTAGCTATCCTGAAGAAGCTTTTTTTACCTCAAGTTGTGCTGCTCTTCGGTCGACCTGCTCCGTGCACAGCAATAAATCCACCGATTGGTTAGTGGCTGTTCACCATCGAGGTGGCATCGTCAGTGCCCACTCAACCCTGCACTGACGATGTCACCTCGCTTGGTGATGAAACGTTTGCAATCCGAGCTACCTACATTTCACAACATCGATTGCTTACCAAACCTCCCTGAAACAAGGCGTCATCTTCAAATGTCGCTCAGATCCCAAAAAGTATGATCGACCCCCAGGAAGAGGCTGCAAGCTGACCCTATTCGCCAGGCCAATCGTAGATCAGCAATCACTGTCGTCTGTACGTCTCTACATTGACCGAAAATTCGAGCGTGAATTAGAAAGTTTGCCATCTGCGTCTTTTATTCCGGTGGTTGTCAGGCAGTTAAACAATATGAAAATCGCTATGTTACATTCATTTTTCTGTTAAACCAAGCTTGAAAATCACATCTTTACATTTAGTCACGGGATAATCTCAAGGACAAAGAGAAAGCAATAAGGTAGTTTTCACTGTGCGTTTCTAACCAGGAAGCCCAGTTACGAACAGTTTATCCATTCCCACTTGTGACGCTAGGTTAGTGCAGGTATGGAAACGCACATCCAAAGAAAAATGGCCCACTTTCAGACAGAGTCACTCTTGTTCCTGTTTAAAGGTTGTTTGGAGACAGCAGCTCAGGTATCTGACTATGAGTTACTGATAGGGTGTTTGATGGTTTAAACTCTATCCAAAGCCTACAACAGAAAACGGTTGGTGCGTTAGATCTTTTCACCAAAGAAGATTTCTTTGCTTTCGAAGAAGGTTTGGACGAATACTTTTTGCTTCGGACACAAATAAGTCTTCAGTCCAAATGATGAGCTCGGTTGAGTTTTGCGTCTCCACGGAAGTGGGCAAAGTCTGTTACGAAAATGAGCGCTTGTCCGCGTCTGAAACCAACGAAGGATCAATCTCGGAATTAGATGTGTGAAAAAAACATATACGGCGTGAATAGTGGATTCTGAAGAAGGCTTCATTGCCAAAGAATAATGTATAAACGAAGTAACCCGTTGTGGCGACCTTTCAGCGCCAAGCTTTTAACCAAGAGCTGGTAGTGTAACGGTGGATACTACTGAGGAGGTACTCGAGTAGTATATGGTTTTCCCATAGATCCGCTTCGCGCCTATCGGGAAGTGAGATTTATTACGGGGTTTGTGGAGCCGCTTTGTGGCATTCGTTTACGTTTGAGTGATAGTCAATGAGTATCCAGGAAATTACATGAAAACCTGTTCGAGAAGAGGACGGATATACAGTTTTTGTAAACAAGATGCATATGAGAGTTTTGCTCCCCCGTCCAAAAGTCTGTAGCTGTTCAGTTGGTGTTTCTCTAATAAACAACTCCGCAGTGAAGGCCTTCTTCCTTTCAGCGGTATATAGACTATTCGCAAAAAAAGCTACTCTGTAGAGAATCCCGGTTACCTGAACTGTTGCAAATCACCCCATATATCTGTCTAATTAAACGAATTATCCCGACTAACTTTGATTACCAGTGGGTTGAGCGGAGGCAAGTTTTGCGAACTAGTTGGACTACTTATTTAGGGACAGCACAACTGAATATTGATTGCTGAACTGTTTCGTCGGAAACTCCCATAGGAGTTTACAACAAGAAGTATGATATTGTCTACCCGAAAGACATCCACACTAATTTAGGCTACGTCCACATCTCCAAAGGATTGTTCCAAAGAAATTCATGATCTCACGACAAATACATTTACGTGCCCATATCTTATGTTTTCGTCACTAGGTTGGAAAAGCAAGCTCCTTCAATGCAAACGGATGAAACAGGTATACAAATTTGGTTTGGACCCACGCAAATTTGACGAAAATCTTTGTTTTAAAGCCAAAAGAGAAATCAGACTGTCCTTGAGAAATACACACAAAATCAGTCTAGTTTGGTTTCCACGAGAGACTCAACTGAATCTCTCGTTTCTGATATTCTACAACTAAATGTGCTGCACATAGGCCGCCTCATGTTTCAGTTGGCACGATATTCGTGATATCGCAACATATTTTCATAAAGGAAACTACTCACAAGTGGAACGTGAGGTTGACGGAAACTTGGGACTGTGCCCACCTGATGAGCCCGAATGGGAAGGGCAAAACCGGTCGTGGGCTGTCGAAGAGTTTTCAGCAACCTTGTGAGTAGTTACCTTCGAGAATAAGACTGGTTTCAATTGTTATTGATCTTGTGATGTCCAACAACAAGACTATACGGGATCGCGGAACCGGTGGAATTGAAATATCTTGTATCCTTCTTACCTAATAGGGAATGGAGTCTGATCATTAGGGGCATACTCTACAGAAAAGTGAAAATAACCTCCAGATGCAAGGGCGTAGCGCAACGCAAATCATCAAACGGAAATCGACAGATCACACTGTCCCATGTCTGTTATATCTGTTGATTCGCCAATCTGTGGTACTTGCTGCTGACCCCCTGAAGTGCCCAGTGCCTAAAAAAGACTCACAGAAGTGAACACAACAGTTATATTCCTAACAAGCGAGTGCGAGAGCTTGAGTGCGTGCGAGTGCAACAGCAAAAGTCACAACGGCCCCACGTTACTTAAAGGGGACTTTCTAACATTCATCCAGGCTGTTTGATGGGAGTTAGTGAACACCCATCAACATCGATCGTGCCTCTATGAAATGCCCGAACGCTGATCACATTCGGTCGTACTTCTGTGGGGTGCATGAACACTCATTAGCTTTTGCTGAACTGATTAAATGATTGACTGACCTGGATGTTTGCCGGCTTTCGTGTTGAGATTTTGATGGGGTAGCAGGTTTCTGGCGTTCTGAGTTAACCTTCAGGAATCTGACCTTTCTGACAATGTCTCAGTCGTAGCTTTTTGAAGAAAGCCATGAAAGTGACCCTAGGAACTATTT